CATTTTCTTCCCTAAATCAAGGGTGTAGACTGTTCCCTTAATAAAGACTTACAGAATGGATTTCAACCTTTCCAAACACTTAAAAAAAACGACCTACCATAGCTGAACGGAATCTGGACAATGGACCCTTTTCTTCCTCCCACCCTTACCCCTGAAAAATAAATTTCAATCATCCCCTTTAGCCCCACCTCTCTCTCTACTTTCCTGTGGACGTGTAGCTGTGTGATCACTTTGGGAAGGCAGTCTCTGGACAAAAGGTATGACATGTCAAATTCTAACTGATGTAGACCAACGGACCTTTGAAACAGTGAACCAATTAACAATACTTCTCAACTGGTAGAAGCTTGTCCAATTCTACAAATCATTACAAAAACAGTTATCTCAATGGCTTCATTCTCAAGTGAATTCCTCAAGGTGATGATGAAGAGTGAGGGGCATTATGCAAAAACTTACTGAACTGCAATTCACTTCAGTACTCGTGAATTTGAGACTCTCTGATGATAAAGAGAGGTGACTTAGCCATTTGCCACATTTCTGGCTGGGTGGTTTTCCTTTTAACTTTTCATTTTTAAACAGTTTTTGATCTGAGATGAGTGTCATAGTTTGAACAGTATTTAGCATTAGCAATAGTTACAGTATCTTGTGAATGATCCTGGTACCTTGCTTGAATTCCTGGAACTTAGTAAGGTGCTATTGCTTTCTGCTTCCATCCACTACCTGGAGACATGCAATCTCTTAATGAAAATCAAAATGTGTGTGAATACAACATCCTGGAGCATGAGAAATTCCAGGCCTAGGGCTGCCTCTTTTTCACCCAAAGATCTAACTCAACATATGGTGCGCTGTGTTCGTACCTCCGGTTTCCCTAATCTAGCACATGGTCAAGTTAAACTATTACTGCACAACAGGCAGTTTAACTCATCTAATACAAGGTTTCTCTCTGTCACCTGCATAGCTGAAGTAGCCTGAAGAGGTCAGAGGTCATCGTAAACCTTCATAGATTACTTGAGACCATTGAGACATGATTTCTCCAGTGTCTCCAAACCCTCCTGGGCTCATCTCAACCAGTAACATCCTCAAGACCATCTAGACCAAGGCAAGGACACCAGAAAAGCCAATTTCCCCACAAACGCCATGGTCCTTGTAATCTTTGTTAGACATTTACTGGCAAGTGTTATATATAACTGCACCTGCATAAGCAGAGTTCAGGTGGTGATCATATATTACAGAAGTGCACTAGAATAACATTCCTTTATATATAAACATATATAACCAGTCTGCATATATAGATATAAGTATGTGTTAATACCAGTACATGTATTTATAAACTAGTGTTTCCATAAGCACAACGTTTGTTGAAAATTAATGCTTAAACGCTAGTAAATTTTAGTTCTTTTTCATTTCTGTATTAAACAGTTGGAATAATTCTTTTGTGAATTGTGTATTTAATTCCTTTACTGATCCTGCCTTTGGTTTCAATACAACAGAATCCAAATATTAAACATTTTCTGTCACAGGAAGCTCACATCTAAGCACAAGACTAAATCATCTTGGACTACTCTAAGAGGACAAATGTTGACAGAGAACAGTAGAAGAGGGGCACCAGAACAGTTATTAATTTTGTAGCCAATCTCACATAATCCTAGACTTTCTTCCCCAAATTGCGAACAAGAAGCACATATTTGAGAGTATTCAGCACCAAAACATGGCCATCCTGTCAGGCTTACTAGATATCTTCACCTAGAACTTTTATACAGCGGAGACAGAGGAGACCAATTGTTAAGTATGAGGAGCACTGCTAGGCTTCAAAGACGTCAGCATCCTCTGGGAGAACAACTGAGAGATAAGCACCCCTCACACTCCTCCTCCAACCTCACCAAGAGAACTGAGACGGGAATAGAGCCTTTTCCTTAGGCAGGAGAAAGCAGATGCAAGTCACTGCCTTTGCTGCCTTTTGGCCCAGAGAATCCCTTCTGGCCTTCCTCATATTTTTTTGCCTCCTTTGGACCTGCCTCTGCTCCCCAGCACATGATATGGCTCTTCTTGGCTTAGTAGGGCGGCTGCCAATGCTTCTGCATTTGTTCTCGTTTGACAAGGAAAAGAGGTCCAGACTGTTGTTGTGTACGAAGTCCCCCAACAAGCACTTGTGCCGTTCTATCATCTGTAAATAAACTGTCTTGTGCATTGCGATATTGCTACCACAACAAGCCCAAACTCTATGGCTGCAGAACAAGGTGAACTGGCCGATACTATCCTCTGAGGGACACGGACAGCAGATGAGAGGCCACAAGTCCTGACCTGGGCTCTGGGAGGTTTCCTCCACCAAACCTCTACTCAACAACTTCCTGTGCTGGACGCCATTGTTCCCCTCAATAACAATCTCCCATACCTGGACATCGCCTTTGTTATACCAGCATTAATCCTGTACCCAGAGCTCCTTGAATTACTCAAGAGAAGCCAGAGAGGCCCAGTTCCAGGCCAGGGCCTACTCAGCCTCTCCCCACTGAAGGACCCTTGTAAACTGAAAGTCCTCACAGGAATAAAGCAATACAGCATAAAATTTTTGAAAACTATTTCCGCACGATGGCAGTAGTGCTCCACATATGATAACAAGTTCTGCTCCCTAGGCCCTCTTCTCCCGCCCGTCCTGTCTGAAAAAACGCCATCAAGTCATAGAAATGTCAGAAAATATGGTCGCCTTCCATTTTGCCCAGCTTTAGGAAACTTCATCAGGCTACTGCACTTTGGCCTTTGGTTTCCATCTGAAGCTTAACTGAGGCCTAAATCCACCACTCTTATCAGGCCTATTCTTTATTTAAGAATTAAATTTTTTTCAGTATGATGTTGGCTGCGAGTTCCATAAAAAAAATAAAATTAAAATAAATTAGTATAATAATTTAAAAAATATATAAAAAGTAATAAAATTTAAAAAAAAGAATTAAATTTCCAAAATGGCTTGCATTACCGGTTTTGTTCTTGTTCATTAAGCATTACATTTCCAGCATTTACCAAGGTTATCAAGTTGTCTACTTCTCAGATGCACATCTCAAGCAAGAATCTAGGCATAAACAGAGAAAGAAAATGCTGAAAACTCCAGGTTAGAGGACATCACTAAATACCAATACTCATGTCCTTGCCTGCCTCCTCCTTGCCATGGTAATCCATTTCTCAGGCTCCTACTGAATTCCATATTTTCTTCAGAAAGACTGAGGCCATAAGTGTTGAATTGTTGGCAGCCATGGCGACAGTCTTAAGGGAAGCACCCAGAGAGATCTCATCACTATATATGCCATACAGTGCCCTAACATGACAGGATATATAATTCCAATCAGAGGATAGTCAAGAGTTATGTCTTGTTATTTCATTTACCATTAAAAGACAAGAATTTCCTCATGTCATTAAGTGACCTTTGATTGCTCCCTATGACTGACTATTGGGTTTGGTGGGGTGGTTGGGGAGAGAGTTTGTATTATAATGTATCTCTTAAGAAATAACCCTCAAAACCATTTTCTCATTTGTAACTAAGACAGAATGTTTCCAAGTCTTTGGAAATAACCACACATTGACAAATAGTAAAGCACTGTCATAAAAACTATTAAGAGCACTGATAACCTTTTAAATTAAGTCTTTCCACTTCCTTACAGTACACACAGAATGTTATATTTATGTCCATACACAACAGTAAATTTATATTAAATTTTATATATGAAAAAAAGTTCGATGTTTGTACATTATAGTTTGCATAACGAATTATCACTCCTGATTTTTGGGAAATTTGTCTATATTATATAAAATTTTAAAGTGTTCATTTTCACTTAATCAGGAAAAATTCTTTTTATTGCCCCATTTATTATATATTCTCCATCTAGTATATTTAATATATATCACATTATATACATACTGGGTGTACTTTTATACAAAGTCTTCTGTACCACCTTAAGTTTGTAAATTACATGCTCCCATACCAACATACATTTTCCCTAGTTGGAATTTTCTCTCTAGTGTATTCTAGAAAGGACTTTCTCTTCTAAGGAATCACAAAAGTAACACTTGCTGCTGGCAACCTTTTCACATTTAAAAAATTTTAATAACTAAAATTTATTAAATTTTTTAAAATAAATAATTAAAATTTATTGAACTTCACAATTTAAAAAACAAAAGGCAAAAATAAATATCTCGATTAAAACTACAAAAAATAACATGCAAAATTCTTTGCCATAAATTCTTATATCTTCCCTATCCATATATATATCATAAAGTCCCAGTTACCCTGTACCTCAAGTGTTCAGACATTAGTTCCTCACATTATAATTTGAGGTCTTTGAAAAAATCATTAACAACTCCTTAGAATACGCAACATTTTAATGTTGCCTCTCTATATATTTTTACATTTGTTAGAATTAAAGCATATCTGTAATAAAATAACCAGACATATTAGCCATGTACAAGGAAGTGCACTGAGGTCACACGTTACATTCAATCAAGCAGACAAGGGTTTTAAAAAACATGGGTGACGTCAATCCACCTCTTTTCTGTGATCAATTAAAGATATAAATTCATTAGGTCTCAAACAGCCAACAGATCAACTTTTCACAAATAATTTCTTCTGCACCTATTTGTTCTTGGTTGTTTCTCAAATTACAAAAATATTTTCAACTTCTTGAAAAATCTATCAAGAATACACAATGTATCAAAAAGAAATGGAAATACTTTATCTCAAATCCCACTCTCCCAAGGAATCCAATCTTAGCACCATAATGAATACATTGGTTAAAATATTATAAAAGTGATATACAACTGTTCATACTAACTGATGCTATTTAACTAAATATATTTATCCTAGGCATGGCAGGGTGGCTAAGGCCTGTAATTCTAGCACTCTGGGAGGCCAAGGCAGGAGTTCAAAACTAACCTGAGCAATAGCGAGAGCGAGACGCCATCTCTACTAAAAAATAGAAAGAAATTAGCCAGACAAACTAAAATTATGTAGAAAAAAAGTTAGCTGGGCATGGTGGTATATACCTGCATTCCCAGCTACCCAGGAGGCTGAGACAAGAGGTCTGCTTGAGACCAGCAGGTTGAGGTTGCTGTTGTGGGGGCGCCTCGATGGCGCCTAGGCTGCATCTCAGTGGCACAAGAAGAAAGGAGTTTTTCCTCCCCTTTGTGTGAAGTAGGGCGAGGCAATTAGCAAACAGCACACTTCTGCTTACACTTCTACCTCTGGTTATCTCTTGAGTTGTAAAGAGTGGCAGAAGGAAGGTGGGATGCGCAGGGGTCGCACAGGATACTGAGGAAATTAATCATTTCAAAGGTCAATTCATGACCAGCGTGAAATCAGTTTGTGCGTTGCTAGGGCCCTTTGGGGATAAAAGTCACGCTGCAATTCAGGTGAGGGTCCTTGCCTAAAGAGAGCGACCACTGCGTTGGAGCTCTAGGGCTCAGACCCTGGCTAGCCAGACAATAAAACTACTCTTGTAATTTGACATCTTCAGTGTCTCTTTCCTTCTGTTCGGCGGCATTGAGTAAGGCTGGTCCCTAACAGTGTGAGCTAGGCTGAAGCCATGCCACTCTACCCTTGGAAACAAAGCAAGATTCTGTCTGAAAAAAAGAAAAGAAAAGAAAAAAATAGATTTAGCCTACATCTCATCAATATATGCCCGATATTCCACAGCACAATGGTAACGTGCATACAGAATGAACATTTCCATTTCTCTTCTTCAGATCCATAGTGCTCACACTATACATGGACATTGATGCCCTGAATTCTTGACTCAATATTGGAGAGTGGACACTTTCTAATAAGATTAACTATACATGGGGAATATCTATAGTTTTGTATGATTAAACTTCATAGCATTCTTCTAATCTTAAGCAAATCATAAGAATAATATATATCTGAAAAAGAATCACTAAATGGAGCAAATATATAGAAGTAAAGTAATGATAATCTTGAGAAGATTAATACGTAGTTCACGGATGTTCAATCCTTTAATTCTGCTCTTTTATATTTACTATTTAATTATGTATGTGTGGGCATATGTGGACAGGTTATCAGGATTTAGCAGTATAAATTTTTACTTACAGAACACATGTAAAACATCCTTTTAAATTGAGTTGTTTCATTGAATGCTAGTTTTCTCAGGTCCTAAGCAACATAAGCCTTGTCATATCATTCACTACGCTTCAGAAAGCTGGATTTTCTGTTAAAGAGAATTGGAAATACCATTCTAGTAGAATAAAAATTTAAAGCAGAATCTTTATATCTTGCATGTATGTAGAAATGCACGTTTTAAAGAAAAATACATCTTTAAATATGCTACTTTCTCAATTATATATTGGGAGGATGTTTGTTTCTTGATCTTTTTAAAATTTTAAATGTAAGCTTTTCTCATTTTTAACATTTCAAGACTTCAGAAAAGTATTAGTAAAACTTGAAGGCAAACCATTGGAAATATCACTCTAGAAAATTACACACTATTAACTGCAAAGTAGGGAACTTGCTAGATAATCCCCTTGTAGCTATTCAGTTTTTTGAAACTGTATTTTTATGTTTAAAAGATAAAAAAACAATGTATGTAAGAGATAGAATCAGACTAAATTTTTCATTTGTATTTTTTGGTATTCGCCAACTAGAATGGTTTAATCTTACAGTTAGTACATTTTGCATTTTCTTCCCTAAATCAAGGGTGTAGACTGTTCCCCTAATAAAGACTTGGAGAATGCATTACCATCTTCCCAAAGGCTTAAAAAGACTACATGCTATCCCTTAAGGGAATCTGGAAAATGGACCCTTCTCTTCTTCCCAACCTCACCTTTGTAAAAGAAATTTCAATGATCCTCTTTAGCCCCACCTTTCTACTTTCCTATGGATGTATAGCTGTATGATCACTTTGGGAAGGCAGTCTCTGGAAAAAGGGTATGACATGTCAAATGTTAACTGATGTTGACCAATTGACCTTTGAAACAGTGAACAAATTAACAATACTTCTCACCCGGTAGGAGCTTGTCCAAATCTATAAATCATACGAAAACAGTGATTTCAATGGCTTCATTCTCAAGGGACTTGCTCAAGTTTATGATGAAGAGTGAGGGGCATTATGCAAGAGATTGCTGAATTGCATTTCACTTCAATAATGGTGAATTTGAGACTCTCTGATAATACAGAGAGGTGACTTAGCCACTTGCCACATTTCTGGCTGGGTGATTGTCCTTTAAACTTCTCATTTTGAAACAGCTTTTGATCTGAGATGAGTACCATAGTTTGGATAGTATTTAGGGTTAAGAATAGTTACAGTATCTTCTTAATGGTCCTGGTGTCTTGCTTGAATTCCTCAGACTTAGTAAGGTGCTAATGCTTTGTGTTTCCATCCATTCCCTGGCCGGATGCAATCTCTTAATGAAAATCAAAATGTGTGTGAATACAACATTCTAGAGCATGACAAATTCCAGGACTAGGGCTACTTCTGTCACCCAAAGTTTAACTCTACATGTGGTACACTATCTTCATACATCTGGATTCCCTAGTCCAGCATATGATCAAATTAAACTATTACTGTACAGCAGGCAGTTTAACCCATCTGATGGAAGGTTTCTTTCTGTCACCTGCTTAGCTCAAATAGGCTGAAGAGGTCAGAGATCATCATATACCTTCATAGGTTATTTGAGACCATTGAGACTTGTCTTCTGAAGGGTCTCCAACCCCTCCTTGGCTGATCTCAACCAGTAACATACTCAAGCAAAGCTAGATCCAGGCAAGATTGCCAGAAGAGCCAATTTCCCCAGAAAACCAATGGTCCTTGTAATATTTGCTAGACACTTAGTGGCAAGAGTCATAACTCAACCTGGGTGAGCAAGTTCAAGTGATGATCATATATTACAGAAATGCACTAGACAAAATTCCTTCATATATAAATACGTATATAATCAGTATGCTTGGACAGATAAAAGTATGTGCAAATACTGGTACATGTATTTATAAACTAGTGTATCCATAAGCACAAGGTTTCTTGACAATTAATGTTTAACACTAGAAAATTTGAATTATTTTTCATTTCTTTAATAAACAGTTGGAATTCTTTTTTTGTGAATTGGGTATTTAATTCCTTTACTAATCCTGCCTTTGGTTTAAATACAATAGAAACGAATTGTTAAATAAATTCTGTCACAGGAAGCTCACATCTAAGCACAAGACTAAATCATCCTCCACTACCCTAAGATGTCAGATGCTGACAGAGTGAGGATATAGAAGAGGGGAACCAGAGCAGTTCTCAATTTTGCAGCGAATCTAAAGTAATCCTAGACATTCTTACCCAAGTTGGGAACAAGAAGAAGCACAGATTTGAAAATATTCAGCACCAAAACAATGGCCGTCTTGTCAGGCTTTCTAGGTATCTTCACCTAGAAATCTTATACAGCAGTGACAGAGGAGAAAAATTGTAAAGTATGAGGAGCACTGCTAGGCTTCAAGGACCTCATCATCCTCTGGGAGAACAAGTGAGAGATAAGACCACCTCTCCCTCCTCTCCAATCTCACCAAGAGAACTGAGCCTGGAATACAGCCTTTGCCTTAGGCAGGAAAAAGCAGATGGAAGTCACTCTCTTTACTGCATTTTGACCCAGAAAATCCCGTCTGACCTTCCTTACATTGTTGCCTCCTACTTGCCTGCCTCTGCTAGCCCAGTACATGGTATGGCTTTTCTTTGCTTAGCAGGGTGGCCACCAATGCTTCTACATTAGTTCTCCTTCGTCAAGGCAATGGGTTCCAGACTTTTGTTGTGTATGAAATCCCGCAGAAACCACATGTGCTGTTCTATCACCTCCAAATAACCTGTCTTGTGCACTGTGACGCTGCTACTACTAGAAGCGAAAATTCTATGGCTCCAGAACAAGTTGAACTGGCCTGTACCATCCTCTGAGGGACAGGGACAGGAGATGAGGGGACACAAGTCCTCCCCTGGGAGCTTTCCTCAACCAAGCCCCACCCAACAACTTCCTGTGCCTGGTCTCCATTCTGCCCTTCAATTACAATTGCTGGTACCTGGTCATCTCCTTTGTCATACCATCATTAATCCTATATCCAAAGACCCCAGATTAACTCAAGAGAAGCCAGAGAGGTACAGTTCCAGGCCAGGGCCTACTCAGCCTCTCCAATGAAGGACCCTTCTAAATCGAAAGTACCCACAGGAATGAAGCAATATGGCATACTGTGTTTGAAAACTGTTTCCGCACGATGGCAGTAGTGCTCCACATATGATAACAAGTTCCACTCCATAGGCCCTCTTCTCCCGCCCTTCCTGTATGAAAAAACACCATCAAGATATAGGAGTGCCAGGAAATATGGTAGCCTTCATTTTGCCCAGCATCAGGAAACTTCATCATGCTGCTGCACTTTTGCCTTTGGTTTCCATCTAAAACGTAAATGGGCACTAAGTTGACCACTCTTATCAGGCCTATTCATTATTTAAGAAATAAATTTCAGCCTGGCCAGTGGCGCCCTGCTAATGCCTAGCACTCTAGGAGGCTAAGGCACGGCAATTGCTCCAGGTCAGAGTTGGCAAAACCAGCCTGAGCAAGAGCAAGAACCCAACCCCATCTCACTATAAAGTAGTATAAAATAATGGACAACTAAGCTTATATATAGACGAGAGAAAGTAGCCGGGAATAGTGTTGTATCCTGTAGTCCCAGCCACTTAGTAGCTGACTCAGCAAGGAGTTTGCTTGAACCCCAGGAGCTTCAGCGTTGCTATGAGTTAGCTGAAGCCAAGGCAAAGGAAAACCACTCATATCCTGACACAAAAAGGGGAACGCTATCACAAAAATAAAAAAAAAAATAAATTTCAAAAGGGCCTTGCTTTACCGAGTTATTCTGTTCATTCAGCCATTACATTTCCACCATTTTCCGAAGTAGTCATCAGCTTGTCGGCTTCTGTGTGAAGTCTTCAAGAAATCTAGCCCTAAACACAAAAGGAAAATGCTGAAACTCAAGGCGTTGGAGGACATCACTAACAACCAATCCACATGTTCTCTTTTTCTTGTCTCTATCCACTCTCAGTGTCTGCCAATGAATTTCAGATTCTTTTATAATAACCTTATGGCATAAGTTTGAACTTTGGTAGAAGCCTCTGACTAGTAGTAAGAGAATGCACCAGAGTAATTATCTTTCTATCATATATATGTATCGGTCTCTATCTATGCTATGTGAGATATATCTATATAAGTAGTTTATACAAGAGTTATTTTGGTATCAGTTCTACATTTAAAAGAGTCATTTTCTTATGCAGTTAGATATAGATGATTCCGATGAATTTTATGTTGTATGGTGTTTGTGGTATTCGAGGAGATGGGTTTGTATATTCATTGTGTTATCTTATGATATATCGTCTCTAAACCATTTTTTCTCTTAGTTTAACTAAGACAAATTAAATGCGTTGCTCTCAATGATGAAACAACCTGCACTGAAAACTATGTATATCAATCTATTTTTATATCTATATTACACTGATTAACTTTTGATATGTCTTGTATCTCTTATCTCTCTTTTTATTTATTGATTCTCCCGGATATCCATGTATGATCATATTCCTAACACATACAAAAAAAACCATTTCCATTTCTCTTCTTCAGATGCATCCTGGTCACTCTATACATGGATTTTGATGCCCTGAATTCTTGACTCAACATGGGACAGTGAGCACTTCCTAACAGGATTAACTATACATGGGAAACATGGTAGTTTTTTAGGGTTAAATTTCATAGCATTCTTCTACTATTAAGCAAATCATAAGAATAACATATATGGGTAGAAGTATCACTAAATAGATCAAAATACAATTAAAGTAATTATAATCTTGAAAGTTTAATAGATAGTGTACTAATATTTTATCTCTTGCATTCTGCTCTTTTACATTTACTATGTAATTGTGTATGTGTGGGCATATGTGGACAAGTTGTAAGTATTTATCGGTATGAACTTTTACTTACAGCATACATGTAAAATATCCTTGTAACTTCAGTTGCTTCCTTCTATCATGGTTTTCTCAGGTCCTAAACCACATAACCCTTGTCATGTCATTCAATATGCTTCAGAAGGCTAGATTTTCTGTTAAGAATTTGGAAATAGCATTCTGTTGGCATAAAACTCAAAAGTAGAATCTTCATATCTTGCACGTATGTAGAAATGCACGTTTTAAAGAAAAATACATCTTGTAATATGTTATTTTCTCAATTACATATTGGGATGATGTTTGTTTCTTGGTCTTTTTTAAATTGCAAATGTGAGCTTTTCTCATTTTCAACGTTTCAAGACTTCAGACAAGTATAAGTAAAACTTGAAGGAAACCCATTGGGAACACCACTCTAGAAAGTTAGACACTGTTAACTGCAAGATCGGGAACTTTCAAGATAATGCCTTTGAGCCACTTCACTTTTTGCACCCATATTTTTATGTGTACAACGTGAATTAACCATGTATATAAAGGATAGAGAGAGTCAGATTTGATTTTTCATTTGATTTTTTTGGTATTAGCCAACTAGAATGGTTTACTCCTAAAGTGACAACATTTAGAATTTTATTCCAAAGCAAAGGTGTACACGGGTCCCCTAATAGGGACTGGGAAAATGGATTTCAATCTGCCCAAAGGCTTAAAAAGACTACATGCTAGAGCTGAAAGGAATCTGGAAAATGGACCATTTTCTTCTTCCCACCCTCAGCCTTCCAAAAGATTTTTGAATGATCCTCTCTTTATCCCCATCTCTCTACTTTCCTGTGGAAGGGTAGCTGTGTGATCACTTTGGGAAGGCAGTCTCTGGAAAAAGGGTATGACATGTCAAATATTAACTGGTGTTGACCAACTGACCTTTGAAAAGGTGAACCAATTAACAAATACTTCTCACCTGGTAGGAGCTTGTCCAATTCTATAAACCATTACACAAACAGTGATCTCAATGGCTTCATTCTCAACTGATTTGCTCAAGGTTATGATGAAGAGTGAGGGGCATTATGGAAGAACTTAATGAATTGCAAATCACTTAAACACTGGTGAATTTCAGACTCTTTGATAACACAGGTAGGTGACTTAGCCATTTGCCACATTTCTGGCTTTGTGGTTTCCCCTTTAAATTTTCATTTTTAAACAGCTTTTGATCTGAGATGAGTGTCATAGTTTAGACAGTATTTAAGGTGAGCTATAGTTACAGTATCTTGTGAATGGTCCTGGTGCCTTGCTTGGATTCCTCGGACTTAATAAGGTGCTATTCCTTTGTGCTTCCTTCCACTCCCTGGCCACATGCAATCTCTTCATGAAAATCAAAATGTGTGTGAATACAACATACTGGAGATTTAGAAGTTCCAGGGCTAGAGCTACCTCTTTGTCACCCAGGTTCTAATTCCAGATGTGGTGCACTGTCTCCATACCTCCGGTTTCCCTAGTCTACCATATGGTCAAGTTAAACTATTACTGCACAACAGGCAGTTTAACTCATCATCTGATACAAGGTTTCTCTCTGTCACCTGCATAGCTGAAGTAACCTGAAGAGGTCAGAGATCATCATTTACCTTCATAAGTGACCTGAGACCACTGAGACATGATTTATCCAGTGTCTCCAAACCCTCCTTGGCTGATCTGAAGCAATAACATCCTCAAGGACAGCTAGACAGAGGCAAGGACACCAGAAGAGCCAATTTACCCAGAAAACCCATGGTTCTTGTAATATTTCCTAGACACTTACTGGCAAGTGTCATACCTACACCTGGGAAAGCAGAGTTTAGGTGGTGATCATATACTACAGAAGTGCAGTAAAATAACTTTCCTTTATGTACAAATACATATATAACCAGTATGCATGCACAGATATAAGTATGTGCAAATAGTGGTACATGTATTTATAAACTAGTGTATACATAAGCACAAGGTTTGTTGACAATTAATGCTTAAACACTAGTAAATTTGAGTACTTTTCCATTTGTTTTATAAACATTAAGAATTCTTCTTTTGTCAATTGTGTATTTAATTCGTCTACTCATCCTGCCTTTGGTTTGAATACAACAGAATCCAAATGTTAAACATTTTCTGTCACAGGAAGCTCACATCTAAGCACAAGACTAAATCATCTTCCACTAATCTAAGAAGTAAAATGCTGACAGAGTGAATACAGTAGAAGAGGGGCACCAGAATGATTCTCAGTTTCACAGTGAAACTCAACTAATCGTAGACATTTTTCCCCAAGTTGGTATCAAGCAGCAAAGATTTGAGAATATTCAGCACCAAAACAATGGCCATCTTGTAAGGCTTACTAGAAATCTTCACGTGCAACTCTTTTACAGTGGTGACAAGGAGAACATTTATTAAGTATAAAGAGCACTGCTAGGTTTCAAGGACCTCAGCATTCTCTCAGAGGACAACTGAGAGATAAGAACACCTCACCCTCCTCCTGCAACCTCACCAAGAGAGCTGAGATTGGAATAGAGCGTTTGCCTTAGGCAGGAGAAAGCAGATCCAAGTCACTATCTTTGCTGCCTTTGGCCCAGAGAATCCCTTCTGGCCTTCCTCATATTTTTTGCTTCCTTCGTGCCTGCCTCTGCTCCCCCAGCACATAATATGTCTTTTCTTTGCTTAGTAGGGTGGCCGCCAATACTTCTCCTTTTGTTCTCCTTCCTCAAGGAAAAGTGTTCCTGACTTTTGTTGTGTACGAAATCTCCCAGCAAGCACATGTGCTGTTCTATCATCTCGAAATAACCTGTCTTATGCACTGTGATGCTGCTACCACAAGAAGAACAAATTCTATGGGTGCAAAACAATGTGAACTGACCTGTACCATCCTCTGAGGGACAGAGACAGGAGGCCAGGGGCCAGATGGATTACCCTTGGCTCTGTGAGGTTTCCTCAACTAAAGCCCCCCTCAACAACTTCCTGTGCCGGGACTCCATTCTGCCTCTCAATTAATATCTCTGATACCTGGACATCACCTTTGTTATACCAGCATTAATCCTATACCCAGAGCTCCTGGAATACCTCAAGATAAGTCAGAGAGACCCCATTCCAGGCAAGGGACTACTCAGCCTCTCAGCTGAGCAAAACCTTCTAAACTGAAAGTCCTCACAGGAACGAAGTCATAGGGAATAAGGTGTTTGAAAAGTGTTTCCGCACGATGGCAGTAGTGATCCATATATGATAACAAGTACTGCTCCCTAGGCACTCTTCTCCCGCCCGTCCTATCGGAAAAAAACGCCATCAAGACAAACAAGAACCAGGAAATATGGTAGCCTTCCATTTTGCCCAGCTTCAGGAAACTTCATCAGGCACTTATGCCTTTGGTTTCCATCTGAAATTTAACTGAGCCCTATACACCACTCTTATCAGGCGTATTCTTTATTTGAGAATTAAATTTCCAAAAGGCCTTGCCTTACCAGTTTTGTTGTTATTCATTCAGCATTGCAATTCAAGCATTTTCCCAAGTTATCAAGTTGTCTGCTTCTGCAGTCCATGTCTCAAGAATCTAGGTCTAAACAGAAATATAAAATGCTGAAAACTCAAGGCTTGGAGGACATCACTAAATAGCAATCCACATGTCCTTGCCTGGCTCTTCCATCTCTCAGGCTCCCAATGAATTCCATATTTTCTGCATAAAGACCTAGGCCGTAAGTGTTGAATTGTTGGCACCCATGGCTAGAGTCTTAAGAGAAGCACCCAGAGGGATCTCATAACTATATATGCCATACAGGCATACATATCCCCACAAGGCAGGATATATAATTCCAATCAGAGCATACTCAAGAGTTATGTCTTGTTATTTCATTTACCATTAAAAGATAACAATTTTCTCATGTCATTCAATGACCTTTGATTGCGTCCTATGACTCTTGGGTATTTGGTAGGGTGGTTGGGGAGAGGGTTTGTATTATATTTTATCTCTGAGAAAGAAGGCTCAAAACCATTTTCTGATTAGTAAAAAAGAATGTTTGCCAAAGATTTGGAAATAACTATGCTGATAAAGACTAAAGCACTGTCATAAAAACTATTAAGATCACTGATAACCTCTTTGGATTACGTCCGTCCACTCCTTTCAATACACACAAAATGTTATATTTATGTCCATACATAACAATAAATTTATATTAAATTTAATATATAAAATTATAAATATTAAAATTGGATGTTTGTACATTATAGTTTGCACAAGGAATTGCCACGCCTGATTTTTGGGCAATTTGACTATATTATATAAAATTGTTAAGTGTTCATTTTTACTAAATCATGAAGAATGCTTTCTTTAACCCCATTTATTATATATTTTACATGTAGTATATTCAATATACTACACATTGTATACACATGTAGGTGCATGTTTATTTCCCTTTAATTACATTTTGACTTATACTTGATGTACTTTTATACAAAGTGTTCTGTACCACCTTATGTAAACTGCATGCTCCCATATCAATATATATTTTCCCTAGCTGGAAATTTCTTTATACTATAGTCAAGAAAAAAGTTTCTCTTCCGAATAATTACAAAAGTAACATTTGCTGTTGGCAACGTTTTCATATTTTAAGAGTTTAAACACTTAAAATTTATTAAATTTTATTTAATAAATAATTAAAATTTATTAAATTTCACAATTTAAATATCTTGAAGCCAAAAATAAATATCTCAATCAAAACTAGAAGAAATAACTTGTAAAATTCTTTGCCATACATTCTTATATCTTCCCTATCCATATACATTTTAATATAAAGTCTCAGTTACCTTGTACCTCCACTGTTTAGATATGCTTTCCTAACATTATAGTTTGAGGTCTTTGGACATCATTAACTACTCCATACAATACATAATATTTTTAATGTTGCCTCTGTCTATATTTTTACATTTGTTAGAATTAAAGCATACCTGTTTACAAAATAACCAGACATATTAGCCACCTAAACAGAAGTGCAAGAGGTCACAAGATACGCTCAATCAAGCAGACAAGGAATTAAAAAAAAAAAGTGTCTAAGATACACCTCTATAAGTTACAGATATAAACATATTAGGTATCAAACAGCCAACAGGTCAAGTTTTCAACAATAATTTCTTCTGTACCTACTTGTTCTGGGTTGTTACTCAAATGACAAATATATTATCTGCTTATTGAAAAATCTACCAAGAATACACAACCTATCAAGAACAAATGGAAACACTTTATCTCAAATCCCACTTTCCCCAGGAGTCCAATACTAGCATCCCAATGAATATATTTGTTTAAATATTATAAAAGTGATATACAACTATTCATCATAACTGATGCTATTTAAATAAATAGATTTAACCTAGGCAGGGCCCAATGGCTCAGGCCTGTAATCCTAGCACTCTGGGAGGCCAAGGGCGGAAGATCTCTCCAGACCAGGAGTTCGAAAGCAACCTGAAGAAAAGCAAGATCTTGTCTATACTAAAAAATAGAAAGAAATTAGCCAGACAATTAAAAATACATAAAAAAAGAAATTAGCCGTGTATTGTGGTGCATGTCTCTAGTCCCACCTACTGGGGAGGCTGAGTTAAAAGGATTCCTTGAGCCTAGCAGTTTGAGGAGGCTCTGAGCTAGTTTGAAGTCATGGACTCTAGCCTGAGCAACAGACCAAGACTGTGTGTCAAAAAAAAAGTAAAGAAAAAAAAAAATTTAGCGTGCTCCTCATCAATATATTCCCCATATTCCAGAACATAATGCTAACCCACACACAAAATAAATATTTCCATTTCTCTTCTTCAGATACATCCTGGTCACACTATACATGGACTTCATTGCCCTGAATTCTTGACTCAATATTGGACAGTGGGCACTTCCTAATAGGATTAACTATACATGGGGAATATCATATTTTTGTATGATTAAATTTCATAGCATTCTTCTACTCTTAAGCAAATCATAAGAATAACATATATCTGGAAATGAATCAGTAAATGGAGCAAATATATAGAAGTAAAGTAATGATAATCTTGAGAAATTTAAAAGTTCAGTGATGTTCGATCTCTTGCATTCTGCTCTTTTATATTTACTATTTAATTGTGTATGTGTGGGCATATGTCGACAGGTTGTAGATTATCATTGAATTTTTACTTTCAGATACATGTAAATATCCTTGTAACTTGGAGGGCTTCTTTCTATCATAGGGTCTCTGGGCTTAAGCACATAAGCCATGCCATGCCATTCAATACGCTTCAGAAGCTGGATTTTCTGTTAGGAGAATTTGGAAATAGCATTCTGGTAGCATGAAAATTAAAAGTCAATCTTTATTTGAATGTATGTAGATTGACATGTCTAAAGAAAATACATCTTGTAATGTTATTTCTCAATTATATATTGGAATGATGTTTGTTCTTAATTTTTTTAAATGTGAAATGTAAGCTTTTTCATTTTCAACGTTTCAAGGTTCAGACAAATATAAGTAAAATTTGAAGGCAAGCCATTGGACACCACTCTTCAATGTTTACACTGTTAATGCAAGTCGAGACTTTCCGATAATTTTGTGCTACTCATTTTTTTTGAATCCATATTATGTGTACAACTTGACTTAACCAGGTACATAAGAAATACAGAAATCAGACTTTATTTCATTTGAATTTTTTGGTATTAGCCAACTAGAATGGTTTAATCCAAGTTACAACATTTGCATTTTTTCCTAATCAAGGGTGTAGACAATTTACCTAATGGGACTTGGAGATGAATTTCAACCTTAGCAAAGACTTATAAAGACTACTACTATAGCTGAAGGAATCTAAAATAGACCTTCTTCTTCCACCCTCACCTTACAAAGGATTTCAATGATCCCCTTTATCCACCTCTCTACTTTTCCTGTGGACTGTAGCCGTATGATCACTTTGGGAAGCAGTCTCTGGACAAAGGGTATGACATGGGAAATGTTAACCTTATATTGACCCTACTGACCTTGAAATGTGAACATTAAAGTACTTCTCACTGGTAGACCTGTCCAATTCTATAAATCATTACCCAACAGTTATCTCAATGGCTTCTTCTCAAGTGACTTGCTCAAGTTTGATGAAGAGTGAGGGGTATTATGGAAGAACTTACTGAACTGCAATTCACTTCAGTACTGGTTAATTTGAGACTCTAATAATAGAGAGGTGACCATTTGGCACATATCTGGCTGGGTGGCTTGCCTTTTAACTTTTAATTTTGAACAGTTTTGATGTGGAGATTAGTGTCAGAGTTTGAACGAATTCAGATTAGCAATAGTTACAGTATCTTGTGAATGGTCCTGGTAATGCTTGAATTCCTGGGACTTAGCTAGGTGCTATTGCTTTGTCCTTCCATCCATTCCCTGTCCAGATGCAATCTCTTAATTAAATCAAAATGTGTGTGAATGCAAAATTCTTGACGAGGAGAAATTCAAGAGCTGGCTATCTTTTGTCACCAAGTTCTAACTCCACATATGGTGCACTGTCTTCATACATCTGGTTTCCCTAGTCTACATATGATAACGTTAAACTATTACGTGCACAGCAGGCAGTTTAACTCATCTGATACAAGGTCTTCCTGCCACCTCCTTAGCTGAAGTAGCTGAAGAGTTCTGAGGTCATCGTGTACCTTCATAGGTTACTTAAGGACTATTGAGACATGTCTTCTCAACTGTCTCCAACCCTTCCTTGGCTGATCTCAACCAATAACATCCTCAGGACAGCTAGACCCAGGAAGACACCAGAGAGCATATCCCCAGAAACCAATGATCCTTGTAATATTCTAGACATTTACTGGCAGATCTTTTAACTCCACCTGGGTAAGCAAAATTCAGGCGGTGATCATATTTTACAGAAATGTACTAGAATAACATTCTGTTATATATAAATACATATATAAGCATATGTTGCAGATATAAGTATTTCAAATATTGGTACATGTATTTAACTAGTGTAGCAAAACACAATTTTTGTGACAATAATTCTCTTACCTTAGTAATTTGAGACTTTTTCATTTATTTAAAACAGTTAATTCCTCTTTTGTGAATGTTGTTTAATACCTCTATAATCTTGCTTTTGGTTTCAATATAAAAATAATTGTTAAATATTTTCTGTCACAGGAAGCTCACATCTGAGCCTAAGCTAAATATCTTCCACTACTGTAAGAGGTCAATGCTGCAGAGTGAAGACATAGAAGAGGGGCACCAGAATGGTTCTCAGTTCTGTAGTTAATCTCAGTAAACTAGCATTATTCTCCAAGGTGGGAACAAGAGGCACGGATTTCAGAATATACAGCACCAAAACACATGGCCATCTTGCCAGGCATACTATGTATCTTCACCTGGAATTCATTATACAGCGGTGACAGAGAGAACATTGTTAATATGAGGAGCACTGCTAAGCTTAAAGACCTGAGCATCCTCTGAGAGACAATGAGAGATAACACTCCTCACCTCCTCCTAACCTCACCAAGAACACTGAGAGGGCAGTAGACATTTTTCCCTTAGGCAGGAAAAACCAGATGCAAAATGTCTTTGCTGCCTTTTGCCCAGA